CCTGTCAGTGGTTTGGTCAACAATAGAGCTCCGGTTAAGGTCACAGCGATTATTGTGGTTTTGGTTACATGTTGGTAAACACATAATGTCTGTATTCAGTGTGCACTATTTCTGCATTAATCTAACTCGTAACTTGTCAGCTGTTTGGGAAAAAAGTCTGATATGTCATGATTTTCATCGGAGGGGTTCTGTAAGACAATTACTGAGGGTCTTTCCGGTGACCGAATAGTTCCAGGACAAGTCTGGTGATATTCTTATTCTTTATTTGTCAACAAATCCCATCAAAAGACCGAATGTGCTTATGGCTGACAGCCACAGACAGGGTATGGAAGTTGAAAAGTATTGAGACACACACTAATTTGTTTTTGGTTCTGGTCGTTTTATGGGATTTGTTGACAGTAACAAAGATATAGAATAATGCCAGCCTTATCCTTTAAGACACTTTCTATATATGGTAGGTACAAGTAAATAGGTTAATACTGTGCTTCATGTCTTCATCTGTTGCTAATATAAAATATAACCCTTTTACTCTACTCTTGATGATTGTTGGGCTAATACTGTTCAATACAATGAAGCCCCTTGGGCTCTGAATCCCACGGAGAAATATCTCCTTTGGGAAATCAGCCTTATAGGCAGCAATTTCCCCGGGATAAATGGCATGCGCTCCATCACTTCACTGTGAAGACATTTTCATTGGTTATCACAATTGAGTTTCATGACAATAGGGGGGCTGAGTATGTGACATTAATATTTATCCAATGTAGGGTGTGCTGTATAGTTCCAGATGAAAACAAAGGATTTAAAGGATCAGGTCCAGTGATGATGAGGAAACTTGTTGCATATATAAGCAATCTCACATCTACAATTTAAAATACATATGGAATCAAATGTAGTGACATTTTATATTAACGTTCATGTACATAATTACATAATGGCTATATACAGTACATTCATGAAACCAACGTAACAGACATTTCTGTTACAACTTAGCAAAATCATCAACTGATGAAGACTGAGATAGGATTAAAAGTACCACAAAAAGCTAGTAAGTGGACATTGAGTTAACATTATTTTTTCAAAAAAGAGAATGTACTCTTTGCCAAATTAACTTGTGACAAGTGACCTAGGGCAAGAATTAGCTGTGGGCCCCTGCTGACCCCCAGTTTATGGTAATTTGGTTAAACACAAATGTGTACATTTTTATACAGGGCCCTGGGTCCTGGCATTGATTGCATTTTTTGTTTCACATTTTTTCATTTCTTCATTTAAAAAGCAAATTAATATTAAACAACATTGACATTCACTTGCATCAATGTAAATGTGCCCAGGAAAATGGATACACTGGAGGAAATGCAGATATTATGTTGCTCTGTAAGCAACAAATTTCTGTTAACATTCTTCTCTAGCATAACTGCAACAAATTTGCACAAATCAAATTAGTAGTGAAACAATTAGCCAATTTTTTTGGCTGACAGATCAAGCAAAAAAAAAAAATCTTTGGCTTCAGCTTCTTTAATGTGAATATTTGTTACTTTTCTTTGTTTTGTATCATGGCCAACAAAACAAGTAATACAAATATTTTGTTTGAACAGGAAACTTTTGACACAAGTCTGTTCTATTAAATGAAAAAACATTGATTCATTATTGATTGCTACAATCTGCAATAAAGCAATACAAACCATCTGCTGTCATTGTGTGTAATTAACACAAAGATGTTGCTCTACTCCAGGATGTACAAAACTGTCACTTATAATTCAGTGGTGCATGCAGCTCCTCCACAGAAAGCCAACAAATCACCACCATTTCTGTCATACTTGCTGTGCCAGTTATCACAAATTGGTTGCTTTTCTTCTTGGCTTGGCTTGGCTTTATCAACTTATTGATTTATTCATTACAGAGAGAATGTCACTCTGCTGGTGCCACCTAGTCTTTAGTGCCAACAGGCCGACACAAAAGATGATCAATTGTCACATCCTCAGCTGCACTCACACTGTTATTTGTAGGAAGAAGTTAAGTGTGTGTGTGTGTGTGGCATTTGCCTGGCTTTGAGAATAAAGTGTTCAATTCTGTTCACAGGAGAAGTCTGTGTATGTGCGCATAAAGTACTGGCAAGAGAAGGCAATTTTAGAGCTTTTGATGTGAAACACACACGTTATCGCGAAAATGTCCCATACTTTCTGTGGCCACTGAATAACAAAGAATAGAGGGGAAAAAAAATCCTGCTAAGAAAACCACTTGACCGACTTGACTTGATAAATATATATATATATATAAGAGCTAATTTGCTTTATATCAAATAAAAGATAATAATAAAGCGAAGAGGTAACTTGCATTAGATAAAGAATCTTTTATTTAGTCTACAGTTTGGAGAGTGCCCTGTCAAACATTGCTCATACGGACTGCTGGCCTGTGTACGAGCCAAGTAGGTTCTGACAGAGTAAATGCTTAAACACATGTCAAAATAGACTTGCTGTACCTCCTTAGATCGGTTAGAGTCTCTAGAATTCAAATATTCAGCACGTAAATATAATTTATTAACATCTACCAGTATTCTGTACCAGCGGTGGTGACTGCCTACCATTCAGACGTGTAGAACTACGATTCTCGCTCCATTCCTCCATTCCTTGTATTCCTTTAGTCTGAAGGGTTCACAGATCACAAAAATCTAAAGGGCTTTAGCGTGTCTGTTGTTGTTTGTTAGCTTTTTGGCTACAAAATGGAGGCCTCCAATCAACTTCAAGGGGGTTTAGTTCTATAGGAATTACTTGCTTGGTGCATATGCCAAAAAAGTTTCTGGCTTCCAGGTTAGGTCTTATAATGCATCCATGTGCTCTGGCCTGGGAAGACGACGTGTAACCATGCTGCTTTCAGACAGATCGCGGTAACTGCACCGCTGCGCTCTGAAACCCCACCTGCTAGCGCGAGCGGTCAAAGTTCAACTGCGGCGCGCTGTGACAACCTTCCGCACAGCCAATTGAAACACAGCTATTGAATTATGGCACAAAACAAAAATGGAGAAGAAACTGATCCTTTGTGTCTCTGAATACCCCGAAATATAAGCCTTTCTTGGCGACAGATTTCTACCCAAGTAGGCATGTCAGGTGTGTTTTAAGATATACAATCCATGATTTTAACAGTCTATAGCTTGTTGTAGTTCGGCACTATGTGTGGATGTGTCCGCTTATACACAGTCTATAGTCCTGCTAGAAGTTCTGGAACCTCCACCCATTTTTGGTCTGTCCTCCGCGACTTCACGGACAGTGTGCTGAACCAAAGATCCTCTATACAGGTTTGTCTACTGTATCTGGCTGAACCGAGTGGCGAGCGCCGCGCAAGTCGCGACATAATGACGTTATCTCCGTCGGAATGTATGACCATGAAAACAAGCACATTTTCAGAAACTAGAATATGTTACCTTTCAAATTAGGTCTCATAAATCTATTTTGGCCTCATAGTTCTTCTGTTGTGAGCTTATTATATTTACATAGCCTATGCAAATTGTAAATTGTAACCAGAGTAAATCTTACAGAAAATTCTCAAAATTTAGTATAATTTGTTTTTGACTGTTAAAATCACGGTTTCATAATACATTTATGATGTCACCGTGCTATCGTTAATATTTGCTTAGGGTTAGGTGCAAAAACAACATGGTTATGGTTTGGGAAACATTGTGGTTTGGCTTACATACTACTTTGTCAAGGTTAGGGGACCTTCGTCTCCATGGTTACATTAATAAAAACATGGTTACAGTCAGGGAACAGTCACTGTCAGGGTTAAAATAAACCTATGTTCAATGTCGGTTGGAAATGGGAAAAGAACAATGATCTCCCGTTGTTTTGCTGACCTACCTATCCACCTCAACCTCCTCCCTCTGTAGACTTGATAAAATCACCTCACTTTCTCATAATTACTACGATCACCAGAGGTCTTTGTCAATTGAACATAAACATGTCTCTTTTTTGGGCACTTGTGTGTTTTTTTATTTGAAAATCTCCAATCTTAAATCAATTCATGCATTCACTCGGGCAGTTCAGGCCAGTGGCACCCACCCTGATATGACCCCTTATAAAACAATTGTGTATTGTTGGTGTTCCTTGTCATGTTTCAGATGAGCTGACAGCAGTTCCATCAAGCAGAAGTTTCCCCTCTAGACTTCTCAGATGGTTTCATTTAAATAACTGTTTGAAGCCTAAAGTTTAAGTTTTCAATTAGCTCATAAAAACATAAACAATAAATATGTGAGTGTAAATATGAAGAGAAGATTTTGCACCAAAACATCCCACAAAAATTTTGAGAGGTCACCAGACACTTCTATTAAACAAAACAATGTATATTTTTTCTGTTTTTTGCCCTGATTGAAGAGAAGGAATTCACTCAATTCATGTCCACACTAAGGATATATATATATATTTATATTCTCATGTCTCTGTTTGGTGATCAGTAAGTTGGACAATTGATTTTAAAATACTGCAGCATAGTCTACAAATCACATACTGGGGAGGGACCAAATTATATGACCTCAGATCAACACAAAAAAAAGGGGAGGCTACATTTTTTCATAATGTTACACATAGTTGGAACAACCTTTTCAATGGTTAAATGACTGTCAAAATCTGACAATGGCCAAATTTAACATAACAACTGTTCACTGCTGTCGATAGTAATGACAATAATAATCTGCCTTATATTATTATTATTATTATTATTATTATTAGTAGTAGTAATAGTATATTAGCAGTCATTGATTGATTAGCTATTTTTGAGAGTGTGCTGCAGTCCAAGAGCTTCCAAAGTTGTATGACTTGTAACACATGAGCAGAGCTACTGAATGTACCTGTATCCTGACTATTTACTATCCTCATGTGGCCAGCAGTGTTTACTGCAGGGCTGGGAACAGCAGTCTGTCAGTAAATGATATTTAGTCATGAAAATCACAATAAATAGGACAACTGAAGCCAATACTTTATTTGAATTGAATGTCAATATTGTCATTGGCAATATCTGTCCACTGAATTACCATCTTTAATTTTATAATATATACACAATGGCAATACTTGAAACTGAAGACAAGCTCCAGTAGGTATTTCAGTCCGTCTCTAGTGTTTGTTATTTTTGTCTTTTACAGTTTTTAAGTATGAGTGATTTATTTAAGAAGCAACTCCCGTAAGAAAGATATCTTTGTGGGAAATATTCTATTGTGGCTACACAGAAAAGTGCTTGGTATTTTACAGGAGCTTTAGGCTTATTTTTTCTCTTCCTCTTCTTTTTCCTCTTCACCCTTTCCTTCATCATCTTTTGCTTCCGCAGACTTTTCTTCTTCACCCTTTTCCTCGTCTTCCTTTTTCTCCCCATCTTCTTCCCCCTCTTCTACCTTTTCCTCTTCCTTTTTCTCCCCATCCTTTTTCACCTCTTCTTCCTCTTCATCCTCCTCCTCTACCTCTTCTCCTGTCAGGCGCTCCAGATCCGTGATGCGGTGTCTCAGAGCCTTGTCAGCATTCTTGTAATTTCCCAGAATCTTCTTCAGCTTGGTCTGCATCAGATCCATTGTATTATATAGTCTGTTGACCTGCTCCTCCAGCTCCTGTACCTCAGGCAAGATTTTAGATGGGTCCAACTCTATCAGACCATCTTTCATCAGGATCTGCCGGCCTTTTTCCTCTAGCATGCCTTTAGCATCCGGGTACTCTGTCAGTGACTCCATCAGGTCATCCTTGGACAGGCAGAAGAGGTCTGAATATCCAATGCTACGGATGTTTGCTGTCCGCCTGTTCCCTGCCTTGCTGCCTTTAATGTTGAGAATACTGATCTCACCAAAGTAGCTGCCACTTCCCAGCACAACAAATTGTGTGACACCATCATCAGCAACAACTGCAAGTTTTCCATCTTTGATAATATACATCTCACGGCCAATGTCGCCCTTCTTGCAGATGTAGTCTCCAGGGCTGAAGACTTGAGGCCGCAGCTTGAGCACCAGCTCGATCAGCAGGCCTGCCTCACAGTCTGCAAAAATACGAACCTTTTTTAGAGTCTCCATGTGGACCTGGATGGCGATTTCAGCCTTTAGCTTGTCTGGAAGATACCTCAGCACCTCTCTTTCATCCTGCGCCTTTCCGTTATTCCACAGATAGTCAAACCACGTGATGACTCGCAACTCAAGTTCCTTGCTGACTTTTCGAACCTATTAATGAAAAGAAAGCAAGAACAAAAACAACACAATCAACAGATGATTGTTGATCCAATTTTTTATAACAGAAAGAGGACGACCATCTACCTGCATGTACTGCTTGATGTTGTCGATTCGGGCTTGAAACTGGGCTTGGGCAGCATTCATGTTGGAGATCATGGTGGCAATGTTTCCTACAATTGTGGCAAAGATCAAGACTCCGACTAAGAAGTCGACCACATGGAAGAGAAACTCAGAGTCCAGGGCTGGTGGTGGTGTTTCGCCGATGGTGGTCAGGGTCAGTGTGGACCAGTAGAGGCTGAACGAGTACTTCCTCATGGGCAGCCCAAAGTCAGGTTCATCAGGATCATCCAGAGCCGGGTAAACCCAGTCATCGGCCCCAAAACCAATAGACTTGGAGAAGGAGAAGTAGAAACAGGCATTCCAGTGGATGATAATAAGGATGTACATGATCAAGTTACCGATGCGGAAGATGTTAGGGTAGTTGGTTTTAGTCTCCGTCCTCGTGAAGAACTCCATCATGCGGCCGATTCTCAGCAGCTTGTTGAGGCGGATCTCTGGGTAGTCAAGGCCGAGGACGAAATAGAAGATGTCAGTGGGCAGCATGGAGAACACATCGAGACGAAACTGGAAGCTGCTGACGTAGCGTTCCCGTAGCAGCTTCTCGTCTTTCACTATCAGACCTTGCTCGAGGTAACCTGTGTTTCAAGAGGTACAAATTTAAAGGCACATTATACACAAGTTTTTGAGAAAAATGTTGGAATTGAATGCCAACCAAAAGTATCTTCTATATTTGCTTGTACAAATGGAAACCTATTCTTCAACAGATTTTAAAAGGCTTTCTGTAGTTTGAAAGGCTAAGCCTACATCAGTTTTTTACCTGTTCTGGTCCTGAAAAGCATATCAGCCAGGTAGATTACATCTGAGGTGTAGTCCAACACCATCCAGTAAATGATGTAGTTATGCTGCAGCTCCTCAAAGCAAGCCCTGTTTGTGGAAGAAGAAGCAGCAGTGTGTTTTGTAAGTTAATAATGTTCATCTCCTTCACCACTGTGTCCTATTGTGCTACAGCTGCAGCCAATGAGGTGCCAATCTTACTAGTGTCAACTAACACGGAGTGTAGCATTCATTGTTGGAATGTATTCAAATTGAATCAAAGAAGAAAACTTCCCATCAGCTTTTAAAAGAGCAAGGCTGTTTCCTTGCACATAGCTAAAATTGCAATGGTTTGCAACAGCTTCATATGAAGCCGAATGGAATCACACAGACATTTGAACGGCAGGGAAATTGCAATGTTGAATGAGAATCATTTTTATATAGGTCACCTGGCAATAATCATGGTCCAGTTGTACATGACTGGTATTGTGATGACAAACAGCCAGTTGTAATACAGATTCCCAGCAGGATTAATCACAAACAATTCTTTGGGCCTATGAAAAGAGTGGAAGACAGTGTAAGTTTAATACCTGAAAGCGTACAGTATTTAAGGAAGTTGGTCCAAATTATGTACTTACTTATCTTTGTCCTTTTCCTTTTCTTTCTCTTTTTCCTTTTCTTTCTCTTTCTCCTTTTCCTTTTCCTTTTCTTTCTCTTTCTCCTTTTCTTTCTCTTTTTCCTCTTCTTTCTCCTTCTCCGCCTTCTCCTTTCTGTAATGTGAATGAATGCATTAGAGAAAACTGTGCATCAAAATCTTTCTTTTAACAACATTTCCTAAAAGGTTTGCTAAATAACAGAATTACTATTTCTTCTCTTTCTTCTCTTTTTTCCATTTTTTTCTTTTTCTCCCTGCAAAAGGATTAATTAACACATTTATTAAGCTTTACTGAAATGACTTAAGAAACATCAAAGGAAAATTGTTTTATAAGGGCTTTGCTTATCACTTCCCGACTCTATAATGGTACTTACTCTTCATTGTTGTTACTGTTATTCAGATTGAGCAGACGATGAGGACTTGATTCACGTCTGGAACAAACACAGCATGTTACACAAGAAGTTAATTAACTGATAAGTCTTACTTTGTTATTCCTCATTAATGTACTGTAAGCCCTCTATTTGAATTAGCGTGACATGTGTCTTTGAAGGTTGGACTCACAGGTCATCCTCGCTGTGCTCTTCGCTGTCTGTGGCAATTTGTTGTGCAGTGTGAGGCGGCACAGTGAGGCAGGGAAGGGTGGCTGAAGAAGTCATTGCAGCAGATCTGCAGTTTAGCCTGCAAAGATAAATCATGAGGGGAGGTTTTGTGTAAGGATAACAGCTTTGGACATGACTGGAGGTCAAATACTACAGCTACTCTCTGGCTGTATGAGACCACCAAATTATGTACATGTAGAGCTGAAACTATACATGTCCATTATTTGATTAGTTGATCGACAATTATTCAACAATTGGGAATTTTTTAAAGCAGAAATAAACTGCTACCAACATGTACAATGTGAATATTTGGTGGATTTCTTTGTCTTCTATGATGAAAAAGAATATCTGACTGTTGGTCAGACAAAACAATACATTTGAAGAAGACATCATTGGTCTCTGGCAACTTGTAATGGAAAGTCTTCAATATTTTCTGAAATTTTTTAGACAAAAACATTTAGATTTAGCCCTACATACGTGGCTCCACTGTTTTAATACACTGTGAGAAAGAAAAAAAGTTTAAGAGTGGGTAACACAAGGAGCAGAACTCTTTCCAGTTGCGTAACAGTAGATGCTTTCTCCAAAAGGTGTTTGTGTTCTCCCCGCATACAATTGTACTATAACAAAAATCTCCTTCCTGAAGAGAGCAGCCTTTTTCAAAACCATCATCGAAATCATTAGTTCACATCTTCTGTCATTTAGTGCTAATACACAAAACAGAAAATAAAATAAGCAAACTTTATGTGGTACATTTATCACTCAATATGTCCTGCTATTCACATCAGGTCAGAAACCTTTATCCACATCATACGTGCTGTAATATTTTCCTTGTTCAGACATTTTAAACAATGCAAAATAGTTTGTCATAACTTACCTTTTCCACTTGTTAATGTAATGTGAAGTCCATTTTCCTTTGATCCTCGTGTAGTTTTTTTTAAAGGTTTTCTTTTTAAGGAAACTGACCACTCAAAGCAGCAGCAGATTTATTGTATCAATCATCGGATGCTACTTAAAATAATATCAAAATGTTGCTAGACACCTATAAGCATTGAAGTCTAACTAACTGTGTCATAGAGTCTCAGTGACCCTGATAAGGATTTGTGGATTAGAGTTGGCTGAGGAGAGGAGAGGCAAAGTCACTCACCCTCCTTATTTGTCCACTGCAGTGGGAGATAAGGTACGTTCAAGAGAAGTTTGGACAACCCTCAGTTAACTTGTTAATGAGGATCCACAACACTGAAAACCATTCTGTGCAGAACCTTCTTTTATTTATTTATTTATTTCATTTATCTGCAACAGGCTGTAATTTTCCTGACTAACTGCGGGACAGTGGAGGATTTAGTCTGCTTGCACACACAGCATCTCCTGCTCAGTCAGCACCTCTCAGCCATATCCAGCTCTGATCCTATTAGATGGTGCCGGGCATTTCAGATTTCAGATCAGGTGGATCTGGCTCCTTTTATATGAATAAGAATCATGAGAGTGAGATAAATCTGACCCTCTGTCAGTGTTGAGTTTTGTGCCCTAATAGCAGGAGATCCTCCTCCCTTGGGGTGCAATAGATATCCTGTGCTTCTGTGGCTCTCCCTGTTGGCTGATGTGGTGTTTGCAGTTGTGTGGCATCAAATTTCACAGTTCATACTTGAACTGTAGATGCTGAATCATTTGGGGAGAAGTAGTTGTTTTTGTGTGTGTGTGTGTCTGTGTCTGTGTCTGTGGTGATGAGAGTAGGCTTTTTGAAATCACTGTATCACAGTAAAAGCACAGGTGTAATAATATAATTATTTGATGGATGAAGTGCATTTAGCTGCTTCAGTTTTAGTGTTCTGGTATTATATTATATTTCCTATGACACGCACAAATGTCTGCAGTGACAGTCTAGAGAGACAGGAATAGGAGGAAAGACTAAGAAAACCAGTGTCATCATAGTCATGTCAGTAGCATGGTAATTCAGTGACTAATCAATCACAACTGAATTTCAAGTACTGTATTGCGAAAAGTATTTTGATTAAAGACAGGAAAACACACATCACAAAGAAAAGCTTCAATTGTCCGAACACACTTTACTTGTTTTGCTTTACAAACAGCATTACAGATAGTTTTTTTCACATTTTACATATTTTTTCCCCAGTCTCTTTTCAGCAAGCCTCAGTTTTTTCATCCTTTATTGGTTCACCTACAGCACCCATTGTGGTTTAACTACTAATAACGGAGGCTGGTAATAAGAGGAAGATAACTACACTGCAGCAGGATCTGCTGCTACTCCAGCTGTGTCAACCTCAGCTGCCAGTGGGGCAGCGGCCGCATCAGTGGCACCAACATCAGCAGCAGCAGGGACATCGGCTGCGGCAGGAGCGGCCGCATCAACAGCCACCTCAGGGGCAGCCGGCGTAACGTCAACAGGAGCTACATCCACAGGAGGCACATCCGCAGTAGCAGCATCAACAGCCGCAGCATCAACAGCCGCAGCATCAACAGCCGCAGCATCAACAGCCGCGGCATCAACTGGTGCAGCATCTACAGGGATGTCAACCACAGCTGGCTCAACAGCAGCTGCGGGGTCTGCTGCCGGCTCTGCTGGTGCTGCTTCAACCACAGCCGGCTCAGCCTCAGCTGCCTCCACCTCCTCAGCCTCCTCTACCTCATCAGAGTTCAGGGGGGCAGCAGGAGCAGCAGGAGCTGCAGCTTTGGGGGCAGGATTCCCATCCTGTGCATGGGAAATAGAGAGTAACTGACTTAGAGTTGATATTGCTGGAGACAGTCCACATATTTTTTGCTATCCACTGAAAAAAAAGGTTAGATTACTGCTCATGGGGAAAGTACTTCACAGCCTGTGAACACAGCTGTATAATGTCTTTTCCTTTGTGGCACTAGAGGAGCGTTAAGTGTGAGAGAATTACTCAAGGGACACTTCTAAGCTTGTTTGTGGAGATTACACATTATTTAACAGTGAGCCTGTGTAAAATTGGTGGAGTGTAGTTGAGAAGGCACAGTGGACATTTACTAGGCAGAGAGGGTCTAATGAAAAATCCCACTGCATAGGCTCAAGCATTATTGGAGCTTTACCCATAGGCAGTAAAGCTCAGAATATCCTGAAGTCAATTTCAAGCGTTTCTAAAAATCCTTCTATACTGCAACTCCTTATTATGACAGTGCACTACTAAATCGCTGGAGTACCACTTTAAAAACATTGCAAAGAACATAAAAATGCTGTGTTTGTTTCCCCCAAAGCAAATTTTGAAAAAAACAAAAAGAGAGAACACTCCAGTGCTGAAAAACTGCAGGAGATTCAACCTTGTTTCGATCATTTTGTTGATTTTCTTTTCAACTAATGTCTGTGTCACTGTCAGCGAGACAGCTCTCTTTACAGCTTTTTAAAGAACTCATGTTATCAACAGGAAGAGAGTACAAGTATACATAATAAAAGGATTGATGCCTGAATTCTCTACACAGTTTCTGGATCCTGGTATTTCTTTTTTTTTTTTTTTACACCACTGGCATTCTGGCTTTTGTCCTGAATTTGTTTTATGGGAAAGAGACACACTGCAGGTCTGTTTTTAACTCCTGACTGAAATTCACAGCAGGAGAAGCCCACCTGTCTCCTCTTGTGAATATGTGAATTCTACTTTGCTGCCTGAAAGTTGTTTTTACAGTGTCCACAGGCAGCCCTCACCTATGTTTTCTCTACTCATTGCAAATCTTGTTGTTCATGTATGGCAAACCATAATCACTGTGTGCTTCTTTTAGCTCGGCACATTCAGTGGTGGCGTAAACATTATACAAAGAACTGCTCTGAAATACACTTCGGAGCAACTACCTCCCTCCAAACTGTTCAGTTTAACATGACAATGCCTGCTTACCTCTTCCTCCTCTTCTGATGCATCTCCAACAGCCACAGGAGCTGGAGGGGGAACGTCAGCTGGCTGTGCTGGTGCAGCATCCACCTGCATAAATAAAACACTTTTAACTCACACTGGATTGTGTCAGATTAGATGTCTTGGTGCTGTATGTGTGCTTACCACTGCTGCCGCTGCTGGATCAGCCTAAACAAATGAATAATTCATGATTAACACACAAAGTTTCTAATGTCATGATAGTCTAACAATATCCAGTATAAATAAACTTACAGGAGCATCAGCAGCAGGAAGGAAGGGGTTTCCAACTACTCCCTGAAAAAATACAGATGATTATAATTAAAGCCAAACTATCTGAATTCATGAAAAGATTACTTATATTTTTAAATATTTCTCTCTCTATTTTTTTTTTTGGTAAAACTACACTGAACCCCCACTACCTGCTGCTGGTACAGCCTGTACATCTCCATCCACCTCAGGGCCTCATTAGCATGTGCCGCAACCTGCTGAAGAAATACCAGACATCTCCAGACATGCTCTGCAATTAAGCCAATTATCCTCTCTCTGTCAGGCATCTATCAGACTGTACATTTGATGACATGACAAAAACATGGAATGACATGCTGTGGCAGAGAGATACAAAACATACAAAGTACAAAAAAAAAAGATACAAAAAATAAAGCTGTCTTACCTCATTACTTTCACTCACTGGAAGCTGAAAATTAAAATTTAGATTTAGAAAGGGAAGTGAGCAATAGCGTTGTGTGTAGTGTTGGGTGCAGTTTTTAATTGTTTAAAAAGGGATCAGTTAACAGACTAACAGACACATAATATTAGGAAAGTCTTACAGGGGCAGCCAAGGTTGTGACCAGCAGGCACATCGTGATCACCAGCAGCTTCATCATGACTCTTCCTATAGAAAAACATATGATATGTCATATAAAAATGTTCGATATTAGAAATTTAAAATGCAAAATAATAATTAAAGAAAAATCAAATTAAGGTAAGATAATTGACTATGAAGGCCTATAATACATACAGTCTATGTTTCTAACACAGTGTAAAATTTCTTTCATATGAAAATCCATCACCTTTTTTCCCGGTGTAGAGAGCAGCTGAATATGTGTCTCCTCAGGGATGAAAACTAATCTACTTCATCACTAACATGGATGCCATTTATATGCTGGAACATCCTATGACAGCCAATCACATCCAGTAAAACCCGCAGAGCCATGTGTTTGAAGAAATCTCCTTACACTTCAAAAACAGAGGCATATAGAGTTAAGGCCCCTCTCATAGTTAATTACACACTGTGCAAGTAGGCTAAGCACACGTGCCTGTGTCTTTATTGCCCTAAAACCAAACTTTAAAAAAACACATAAGACGGCATGAAACTGATACAAGCATGTAATGATAATGGCTAAAAGGCACTATTTAGTTTGTAAAAGTCAAATCAATGCTGTAATAAAAAGCATTTAGTTCTCCAAATATAAAAATTAAAATACTCATCATGACAGGGAGGTCCTCAGATCATACAACAAATACTACAGTGCTTTTTTCCCTATACTACACATACACCAGCTGAACATTAACATTAAATAATATGATGCTTGAGCAGTGATGGAAGTATATTCATTCAATTACTGTACTTACACAGAATTTAATTTAAGCATATTTTCATGTTATGATACTTTTCGATCTGCCACAGCTATGTTTCTCTGATGCACTTAGCCTGTAAATACAATGCACTGTTAAGGATTACACCAGTGGTTTCTACATGTTTTTGCTTGTGTCCCTTGTGCAGCGTGTATTTGGGGCCCCTCATCACATTTCAGACGCCTCTGGGTCTCTCCATCAAAGAGATTTTGCCCCTCTAAACTTCGCACGTGTTTTTATTTCAATGACTGTTTGAGACACAAAAAAGTAAAATTATCTAATATTTCACAGAAGAAGACAAGATTAGAGACAAACCCAAAAATGAACACAGTTCTGTGTGGCAGAACCGATATACCTTGTGACGCTTAGGAGGGGGCCTGAGCCCTTGGTTAGGAACCACAAGACTACACCATCTAACTGTGAACAGAACAAGCTCCAGCCTCACCAGCTGCAACAGCAAAACCCTGACAAACAATCCAATAAAATCATAGCTTATAAAAATCACCGGCAAGATACATTTTTCCGCAAAATAAATACTTTCACTTTACATTCACAATACCTGAGTA